TAATTGCAGTGTTCTTAATCTTTATAAGTTAGTAGTACTGTTCGGGTTTACAGTGTGGGGGCGTGTTAGAACGAGCCGTTTTAGGTAGGCGTGGCTGACTCTTAACTTTTATAAAGAATATCTCTTTGGATTTTTTGGATTTGAGACTTTAGTCTTTGTAACTTTACAGATCTTCTTTATGCACCAAGAGCTTGTAACACTCCAAAGAGAAAGGAAAACTTGAAATCGCATCATATGACCCCTTTAAACTTTGGGACAAATGACATAGCCTGTCCCTCGCTGTTTGTGCTATGAATATGTATGATACCTTAAACGATGCAGCTTGTTGAAAAGAGTCTGCTACTCCTTTTCTAAAAAAAAATTGATTTATGATATTCACCTGGCAATAAAATTCTGTAGATTTGCTTTGAAAGACATACCTGGGACTTGGGTGCACTTTTTTTTTTTTTTGACAGCCAAAATGCACAGCAACACTTTAGCAACCAGCCAAAATACCCTAACAACACCCTAGAAACCATCCAGAACCCCGTATCTGTAGCAAAGCATGCCCTAGCAACCACCCACAAGATGTAGTAACCACATAGCAAGCACACCCTGGGAACCTCCTTGAACACCCTAGAAACTGCATAGCAACATTCTAGTACCACCCATAACACCCTAGAAACTGCATAGCAATACCCTAGCAACCACAAATCAACACTTTAGCATCACATGGTGACTTTTGCACAGAAAACACACAAAAAAAGTGTATCCGAAAGGGCCTCATGCCAAACATTTTTTTCTTGTTATTATATGAAAGTTTAGCTACAATTTGAGTGTTTATATTATGTTTTGCAAGCCTATAATTACAATATGACCATGCTGCATTGTAGGAAGTTGCTGTTGCTGAGTGAGATCAGCAGAATGGATGGATACTAAATTACACTAAACAGACAAAAACATACTCATGCAGTACTATTTACAACTTATAAACATAGTGAGACTGTTCAAACTTAAAACACAGAAAAGTATGAAACAGACCAAAAATTTAGGACATCCTTCTTAAATGAACACATGTTCTGGTATCACAGACTGCACCAAAATGCAAGGCCAGACTCACAATATAAAAACACAGCAGGGCATCATTTGGTGCTTTAAAACATCTGTTTCATTTTTGGGTTCAAAACACATGCTTGTCATTTTTCTTTTCATTTAATGCATTGATATAAATTTGCTGTAAATGAATCCGTGAACACTTGTGCCAGTATACTTAATTTGGAACAACATGAGCCATGAAACAGCAAATTAGGTTTCAAATTAGTCCGAGTGTGTTTGTTTATAAAAAAGCACATCTATAGGGGGTCGTTTTACTCACAGAGTGTGTGTACACAGCTACATGATTCTGCGGATCTGTGTCTACAGGGGTTCTGTGTGATCCAGGAAAGATCTAGCTACAGCTGGGCCTGTTTAGAGCTCCATAAGGTACAGTCTACACCTCATAAAAACACATCAACTCTAATCCTTCTCTGCTTTCTTCTCTCCATCTCTCAGGCTTTTACTATGGGCCTTTTTCTTGATATGTAAGTCTTATACTTTGGCTTGCATAATAAGATTTCACAGTATTTTGAAGTAATTTTCTTTTTATATATAACTTCTTAAAGACTCACCACTAAGGCAAGCATCACCATTAATGCTGTGAAGATAAGTAACCAATTTCAAACTCTAATGGTCACATTTACTGTTATTCAGCGACTTTTCTTAGTTAAAATTGTGTAATTTCAATAGGAGTCTGTGCATTCAACAATTTGGTCACAAAATTTACTGGGTTGACCAAAAGAAAGTTGCATGGCTACACTATTGACAATGGATAACTGACTTTTTGCCAGCAAAATTTTGCTGAAACTCCACTAATGTGACCACTCCTTAAATACGAACATTTGGGACAAAGGACATAGCCTGTTCCTCGCTGTCTGTGCTATGGATATGTGTATACCTTAAACTATGCAGCTTGTTGAAAAGAGTCTGCTACTCCTTTGCTAAAGCATTTGATTTATGATATTCACCTGGCGATAAAATTCTGTAGACTTGCTATGAAAGAGGGACCTGAGACTCCACTAATCACACCCTAGCAACCACAAATCAACACTTTAGGATCATAGTGGGGACTTTTGCAGTTATGCACAGGAACACACAAAAAAATTTGTATCCAAAAGTGCCTCATGCCAAAACGTTTTTTTTTTTATTATATGAAAGTTTACCTACAATTTGAGTGTGTTTATATTATGTTTTGCAAGCCTATAAGTGCAATATTACCATTGCATTGTAGGAAGTTGCTGTTGCTGAGTGAGATCAGCAGAATGGATGAACACTAAATAACATTAAACAGGCACAAACATGCACAAACATACTCATGCAGTACTATTTTCAACTTATAAACATAATGAGACTTTTCAAACAGAAAAGCATGAAACAAGCAAAAATTCTGGATATTCTGCTTAAATGAACACAAGTTCTGGTGTCACAGCCTGCGCTAAAATGCAAGGCCAGACTCACAATATAAAAACACAGCAGGGCATCATTTGGTGCTTTAAAACATCTGTTTCATTTTTGGGTTCAAAACACATGCTTGTCATTTTTCTTTTCATTTAATGCATTGATATAAATTTGCTGTAAATGAATCCTCCTGTTATGAATGAAAGCTTCTATAATAGTAACAACTGTGATCTTTGTAAACGAAAGCGACCTGTGCTGAACAGTCTGGACTTACACATTCACTCATCTCTGATAATCTCTCTGATATATATATATATATATATATATATATATATATAAACATACTCACTACATACTCAAAAAGTATATAAAAATTTGGATAATAATTTATCGGCCAACATATCATTTATCGGCTTTCAAAAATAAAGAATTATCGGTTATCGGTATCGGCCAAAATTTTAATATCGGTGCATCCCTAATTTTTTGCAGTGTACCAATTTAGCTAAAACTCAATTTATGTACTTGTCATGTTTTTTTGTCCAAATGCTGTAAACAACTTGTCAGCTAGGGAAATAAAATAAAAAACTAAACTGAACTGAACAGCCAGACACGACTCAAGAGTTTTCACATACAGTATCACATTTCAAGACGTTTTGTGAAGAACAGAATGAACAGAGAGAGAGAGAGAGAGAGAGAGAGAGAGAGAGAGAGAGAAAACTTGCAAGGCAAGGACCATTGGTATGTGATCCTGTCTGGTGTATCTAATGAATTTACTCTTCTCAGTCATGACTGCATTAGTCACACACAAACAGGCTGTCATCAGAAACGTCAGTCGCACACACACGTGCCATGCCCCCCATGGAGAGCCCTGAGGGCCACAGTGGGAAGAGCGCATGGGATCAAAGGTCAAGTGTGTTAAAAACAATGTGACTGAATCTGGAAACGTGTGTGTTCGTCGTAGATGTTCTTGCTGAGTAGATGCTGGAAACGCATGACAAGTTTTCCCAGACACTAACAAAGAACAGACATCGCTTCTGTCCTCCCTCGTCAGAGTTTGGTCTCTTTCCTTATTCCCCTTGTGTTCACAGCTCTTTTAACTCTCTCTCTCTCACATCTCTCTCTCTGCCTCTCTCACCTCATCAGCATCAGGCTCCTTTTAAAACCAACCATTTGAACCAGAGCACCTCTGCTTTCATCTCCAAAAGATTATCTTCAATGTCAATTCCTCACGCACACTTCAGTACTTCATCTACAAATGGTGATTCTCAATGGCTCACCTACAAATGGCTGAATATGATGATGCAAAAAGGGTTTCTTCCTCTAATAAAAAATAAAAAAAATAAAAAAATGTTGACAAAACAATAATGAAATAATTGTAAAATATGTTATAATAATGACAATTAATAATAAACAATGACTATTATTAATACTAATATAATAATAATAAAATCAAATTGTTTTATTTCAGTATTAGTTGTTCCAAAGCCATGCAAACAAATTATTACATTCATTTACGTTTTTTTTAATGTCATAGACTGATTAAATGAAAAATTCTAAAATAAATCAGTACATTCCGATTCCTTTTAGCTGAAGAAGAAATATGGCTTTTATCTTTTATTCCATTAAAAAGAACCGGTTCATAAAATTGATTTGTTCGTGTTTCCGACTATACTGTTCGAGCTGTCATTAATTCGGAAATCGGATCATACTGTTCGCCTTAACTGTATTTGATTCACTAAAAAGAACCGCATCATTTGAGTCGTTTGTTTGAGAATCGGACTACATTGTTCGCCCTGTACGTTTAAAAAACCGGCTCGTACGAGTCATTCGTTCAAGAATCAAACCGCACTGGCCGAATGGTTCTCTATTTGAGAGGTCATGCAATAGCCTGTTCTGATAAGAGCCTACTTTATAACCAGGAACAGCACATAAGTACTGCGATCAAAGCTCCCTCTAGAGAATGCTATGAATAACGCCACGAGACTCTGACGAAACATCTGCGCTCAAATTCCGCTGCATTCAAGTCTGTCTCCAGTCCACGCCGCGTTTCTGAGTCCAAAACCGACCACTGCATTTACCGGCAAGCTATGGCTCCTAAAAATAGTTCAATAATGTCATAAACACTCCTGCAATTTCCGTTCCAGATGACAAAATCGATCCAAATATGATGTTTCGTGACTCTCAAAAGCAAACTTTCCTTTTTCTGGCACATCAAGTTTGATTCCGCAATACCTACAGACATAATCTACACCTTTTCCCTTGTTAAATGAATTAGACGACACAGACAGCAGAAATATTGTGGGAAATGGTGAACAAAGAAATTTAAATGTTAAGATAAAATGTTCTGCTGATCTAAATAATAGACGCGCGTAATGGACGTCTAAATTATGGCATATTACGCACCGAGGTAAAGTTACGCGCATTTCCCTGGTAATTACTCCGCTCCTGAAATTTTAAACCAAACCATATGCGGTGAAATTAACTCTTTCCTGGATGTGGTTTTTGATCTTTTTATTGGAGGAACAGGAATTTATGAAGCCTACTCTAAATATGTTGCTTGTGATATGTGTTAGTAAATAAGATAACGAAACAACATAGCATGTGTTTCTAAATTATTTGCGCATTATTTTAAATGTAAGAGTTTAAATTCAACACAGTAATTTAAGGAAATGTATAAAAAGGCACTTAAGAAGACATCGTTAAACCTGAAAGGGGCTAATTGTTTCAATAGAAACTGTTCTGAACACTCTGGATTAGTTGACAGGTTCTAAATCATGAGGGTACCTACTTGCTTTATCAAAGGGGATCTGACGGCAGGAGTCTGGGTCTGATGCCGGCCAGGGGCAGTAGTACACCGCTCCTCCCTCCACAATCCCTGGCTGAGAGGTGTTCGCTTTAGGAGCCCCAACCAGCACAGACAAGCTGGAGAGAGAAAGGCATAAATCTACACACAACAGCATCCTACTGGATCAAAGGAATATATTTACAAGTGACAAAATGAACCCCAACAAAGTAATTCAAACGTGAGTTAGCCTATTTTACTTCAGCTTTCCATGTACTTCAACATTAACCTCAGGCGTCTGAGTTCACTGGTCCATACTGGTGGTGCTGAAAAGGTTTTTGCATAAGAAGCTGCGTCAAAAGTCTCGAACATTGTAGGCATAACCAAACTAAGTTTGTTTCTGAGAAAGTGGTTATTACGAAATATACTGGAAGATGACTGTTTTTTGGGAGCTTGTCAATTTGATAAAAACAACAAAATCAACAACAAAAAGTTTTTTTTAATTTCACTTACGCGTTTCTATCCTGTGTTGGGTGGTAAAAGTCCAGTGAGTATCCAAAATAACTTCCCTCTGGTCCATTGTAAACCGTTGGCTTTTCCAAATCCAGGTTGAAAGCAGCAGCTTCGCATAAAACTGAAAATATGAGCAAAAACCCATGAAAAAACACGCGGAAAAAACAAGGGTGCATGGCGTCAGCCCGGTGCCTCCAAATGTAATCCAAATGTTTTGATTAAAGATGTGCAGACAGAATGTAAGGTATGTCCGTGTTCAGCTGTCAGAAATTGAGTGCGCGCTCCATGCGTCTGCTGCTGCCTTTTTGCAAGCTGCGCGCCTTTCTCTGCGCGAGCTCGCTGCGTACTAAACATTATAATGAGCTGCGCACAAGACCGGACTCCGGCACCACATCACACAGCATCCGGCCAACTCCTTTTATGGAAACACACACACACACAAACCAAATCAGACAATTAAGAAATGAAGACCTTTGCTGTAATATTACTATTATTAGCTATTATTAACTTTAAATATTATTACTTCTATCAAAAATTACTTAGAGACTATTATTTTAATAAATATAAATGTATACAAAATTATTAAATTATCAAATTATATAAAACATATAAAATATACATATATAAAATATATACATTCCTAATATTATTTCATATAATAGCCTATCGAAATATTATATTCAGTTTAAATAAAATAAATAAATAAATACTTTGATTCTATAGTTAGATAATATATCAAAGTTACACTTATTAATATTAATACCGCAATATTACTCAGATCAAGTTGTTTCAGTCTGTCAACCTTGCAGCCGATGCTTTTAATTACGCAATTTTAACACCGGCTGCAAATAATGAACGGTAATTATCCTCGTCAGACGTCCAAAGTTAAACTTTGGTACGAAGCGCGCGCGATAAGTATAACGCTTGGAAAATAAACGGTGCGGATGTTTTAGAGTGAACCTACAATCGTACGTCCTGCTCGACCGGTTTCTTTGGAGCAAACCTTAATTTAGGCGCCGTGTTCACATCTGAACGCAAGACGCAGGCTGTATGTGCGCTCCATCTGGCTGTCAGTTTTAATCTTGTCTGAATGAGGTCAATCCCTTCACCGCCCATCCTGTGATCACCTAACAGTCTGGGTTCCAACTGTAAACAACCTCACCCCAAAACACATTTGAACATGCTAGGATGCATGCCATTTGGATGTTATTATTGCTTTTCAGGTTAATTATGATAAATTATAATATAATGAAATGGTGACCCATATACACACAAGCTTTTGTATAGCATAGCATTCAAAAGAAAAAAAAATATATATATATAAAAAAAAAATCCTGAAGACCTGTGGCAACAATCTCCAAAATGCTTGAAGAAACCTTCCTGCAAAGCTACAGTACTGTGAAAAGTTTTAGGCACTTGAGCAAAAATTCTGTAATGTGAGGATGCTTTCAGAAATAATGTCATAAATATATTTGATCAATTATCTTCCGGATTAGTCGGTCTCATTTTTTTCTGATTCTTCATGCCATTTCAGACAGACTGGATGATGATGAGATCAGATCTCTGTGTGCAGCACAACTGATATTTCCTACTGACACTACATCAAAAGATAGAAATAACTGACTTAAAAAATTTTTTGGGGGGAAAATACTAGTGACCCAAGACTTATGCACAGTAATGTGTGTGTAAATAATACATACATACATACATACACACACACACAGGACTTGGGACTGCCTATTAAACGGGGAACATTCTTAGAACGTTCTGGCAAGGTTCTCTAAAATACTGTATGAACAAACGTTCTTCCAGTAATATGGAATGTTCGTTGTGTCTGAAAATGTACTGTTTACATACATTACACAAACTAATATTAACAATAGCATATGAATACATATTTTAAAATAAAAACAGTTTAAAATCAGTATATATATATAGTAATCAAACATCACTGCGAAACATAACTTGTTCTATTAAACGTTGATGAATGAATGAATGAATGAATGAATGAATGAGCTTTATTGCCAGAGGAACCTCCCTCATTTGTGTTGAGGGAGAAGAGCAGTGGGGCGAGGACGCAGCCCTGAGGAGCTCCAGTGCTGATCGTACGGGTGCT